AAATATTATAAAAAAAATGCGCCAGCAAGGGATTAAACTTATTTAAAAGTGTTACCGCGGATTCCTCTAACATGAGTGGTACCAGCAGAGAAATGAGGAGAGAGGGAGAGAATGCAAAATCCACTAACGTGGGAATCTGTCAAAGTTTGGAGGAATTTTTGTTTTAGGCCAAGTTGCACACGTACTGGAAAGAGTGGCAACATTCAGTATTGGTGCCGTTGTTATTATGCTGCAACTTAGTTTAACCATTTTCCTTGCTATTATCAATATGATTGTCAATGCTGTTGTCAGTGGCCGAGAAAGAGTACAGACCGTTACTGCATCTGCCGCAGTACGTTCTTTTTCATCCTTTTATTAAATAGGCAAATTGTTCAGTGATTTTTTTTGTGGATGTTGAGCATTACAGGCGTTGCGTAGTGGCCAGTAAATGTCATTAAACAGGTAAGAAAATAGCTCAGTTTCCCATGTATTCATTCATTTCGATGGTAAATTGGTACTGGCATATGTTATCAACTTTCTTCTAACGAGCTGTCGTAAAAGAAAGCCACCAAAAACCCTACCAGCGGTTCTCTGCTCTTGGCATTTGCTACCAGTTTGGCTACTTCCAAGTATTTCCGTTCCTCATGGATGGTGAATTACGGAAGGAATTTTGGCTTTTGGCGCTGCCTAAACCACAGGACATCAGCTAATTCTCCCGTATTGATAATTTAACTGTGAAAATTGTACACTTTTTATTAAGATTTATTAACTTGGTGATAAAACACTCTAAAATCTAGATAACTTTTCCAGAATGCGCCAGCAGCGGCCCGACAAATGGTCTCGAATCTTTCCGACAAAGTACATGATGTTTCACGTGTATGTTTTTTTTTTTAGCTAGATATTTACTCGTAGCATTGCTTCGTACTAGATTTGTAGTGTTTCGTGCTGATGTTTATATTTGGAATACCTGGAACAGCTATCCCGACTACACTGTTGATGAAATTCCTTATCAATTGGGACGTACTGATTGTGCACAGTAAATAATTACTTTTTGATATTCTGGGTCTTATAATTTCTTGAGTGGCCAGATAAATGCTAAAATGAATAGTTTGAATGACTTCTTTCGCAATCAGTAAGAGCTTTTTTAAACATTTCTGCTGATTTAGTACCATGAAGCAGAAAAGAAATGCAAAAATTTTGATGCAACAAAGGCTATAGAGATAGGAATGAGAGATAACAGATGGACAAAGCATACTACACTTTGGTGATGCTTGCACAATGTTGAGCAAACAAAAGAAAAAATTGCATGGCTATTTTAATTTCGGCTGATTTTGATAATTGCTGAAAAATAAACTAGCATTTGCAGGCATCCACAGAAAAAGTTGGACAACAGGCTGGCCGATTTCTGGATCATGCAAATAAGATGGCCGAATCAGCACTGGGCGTAGCCCCCGAAGCAAACAGTGCCGAGAGGACGCTTGCCGAACGTCTCACAGATCTTGGATATCGCATTTCGCAGAATTTGAAAAATCGCGCTCATGGCGATGTCATCGATACAGTTTATGCGGATATGCATGGTATTATGGAGCGTTTGAGCAATTCACTTTCACTGGTAGTTCTTTCTTTTGTGTTGCAAATCTAGGCATTAGCAATATACTCTGTAATATACTACTTGAGCAAACTCCCTGCTTCGCTATTTTACTTTTGAAGTGACATTAACTCCCTTCTAAGCGCTAATCCCTGTTTTTTTTTGCAATCGCATCCAAGCTGATATTGCAAAAGCGTAATATTTCCCTGATCCAATCATTCGTTGCCTGCATGTCATACTAATAAAATTAGAAACGAGGCATTTTTAAGTCCCACTATTACTGAATGAGACGGGTGTTATTTCAGCGCAATTATTTTCGGCAAACTTAAGATTTTTGTAAAGTTGGGATCTTCACATCGCAAATTTATAAAAGCATAATCAGGGTTTACTGTTAGATAAATGTTGACTTTGATGTTCTGGCCTAAATGCAGCATCCCAGACACTCCTTAACTGATAGTTTTGTTTTCCCATCTATGCAA